TGTCACATTACAGCCACAAACATGAATCAATTTTATTGGAATTCCACAGGAAAGACCAACACAAAGTGGTGTACACTTGAGAAGTGGAACGAAAATCATACATGATTCCAAACATTTTTTACAAATAAATAACTGAAAAGTGGGGTGTGCGTAATTATTCAGCCCCCTGAGTCAATACTTTGTAGAACCACCTTTTGCTGCAATTACAGCTGCCAGTCTTTTAGGGTCTGTCTCTACCAGCTTTGCACATCTAGAGACTGTTCTCTAGGTTCTGTCTGTCAGTATAACAAGAAGTCGGCCATCTTGGATACAACTTTTGTTTTTTCAATAGGAAGAGGGCCATGTGACACATCAAACTTATTGGTAATGTCACAAGAAAAACAATGGTGTGCTTGGTTTCAATGTAACTTTATTCTTTCATGAGTTATTTACAAGTTTCTCTTTGTTCACAGCCATTGACATGTCGAAGAGGTTAACATGTTAGGAGCGGATCGAAATTGTGTTGATATCTGGTGAACGCAGTAACCGGGTCATTGCAGCAGATTTCAATGCAAGACACCCTACGAGACCACACATCTCCCATGCTACAGTTAGCAAACTGCTTGCTAAGTTTCGTGAAACTGGTTCAGTGTTGGATTTGCCAAAATGTGGACGCAAGAAAAATGTCACTAATAAAGAAACATTTGTGGCTGTCCTAGCTTCATTCAGCAAGAGCCCACAGCGTAGCACTCGCCGCATGTCACTGGAGAGTGGCATTAGTCGAACATCCCTTCGGCAGATATTAGCTACTCACAAATGGCACCCTTACAAACTCCAGCTACTGCAGCATCTCAACGAGGATGACCCAGATCGGCGCACAGAATTTGCAGAATGGGCAAAACAAAAATTGGAACAGGACCCTCAGTTCATGCAGAAGATTTTGTTCAGTGATGAGGCAAACTTTTATGTGAACGGTGAAGTTAACAAACAAAACACCGCTATTGGTCTGACACTAACCCACATTGGATGGATCCCTCCAAGAGTGTTGGAGCAACAAAAGTGATGGTTTCAAGTTACGTTGAAACCAAGCACACCATTGTTTTTCTTGTGACATTACCAATAGGTTTGATGTGTCACATGGCCCTCTTCCTATTGAAAAAACAAAAGTTGTATCCAAGATGGCCGACTTCTAAATGTCCACCATGGTCACCACCCATCTTGAGGAGTTTGCCCCCTCACATATACTAATGTGTCACATTAGTATATATTGCGCTTTTACTAGTCCCTAAGGACCCCAAAGCGCTTTACATATCCAAATTGGAAATTATTATTTTATGATTATTCTTTTTCACCCATTCACGCACACATTGACACACTAAGGAGCTGACATCCCCTACCCCCAACATAGGTTAGCCTTATGTTGCCTTGTACATAAAATAATAATTTCCAATTTCTTCCTGGCAATGAGGCAAACAACCCATTTGACTCAATCATTGCTTCACTTGTACTGGAAGCAACCCAAGGCCAAAGTACTGAAATAGCATCGAAACTACAGAAAGCTGGATCAGTAGGTCCTGACTTTAAATGCTGGGAGTCCAAACATGGCAACACTCATCCATCAAAAGAAAGACAGTTCATTTGACAGATGTGTTAATGAAGAGTTCTTCGTTCGGCCGCTCTTTTAAGAGAGAAACATTCGGACAATGTTCTGAGTTGCGTTTTAACAGATATTCTCACGGTGCCTCTCATTGATGTGTGTTTGTTTGCGTGTTGTGCATTTCTGCATGGGCACAAGCATGCACTATCACGCAGACGCAACCCTTTCTCCTAAACTGAAGTGAATATTAGTGAAAAGAGCAGAATTGCTTGGTCTCGACTGCCACTTCAGCATCAGGATCATCAGTAGTGCAGGGTGCCGTGTTGCATTACCTTTAAAAGGCCTTTCATTTTGTCGTGCAAAGCTGTGAACTCGTCTGGCGACATCTCGGGGTAGAGCTCGCTTTTCAGCAGCTCCTCTGTGATCTCGCTGTTGTTGTAATACACTTTCTGTGCGATTCCATTTAACAAGCTGCTCAGAGACTTCATCGCGTCTACTTCCGCCATGTTTGCTCTTGTGGTCACATGAATTGCAGTACAACACGGCATTGTGGGACTTGTAGTTGCAGATTCCGACGGCAGCGCTTGACATGTATCGTTTCATCCAAGCCTCCTAAAGCGAACATCAGAAACTTTGCTAGACAAATTGTGAAAAATCATTTGCAGTTACAAGGCCAATTTACCAGATAAAATGAAGCAATTGATTTATGTTAAAAAGGAGCAACATGCTGAGTTTTATCAGATGTTTTGACAGTGCGAATTAGTGTGGATTTGAAAAGATTTCTACATTTGTGTGTGCATAAGCACAAATAGGAGTATTATGCACATATGAACATAATCGTGCACATATGAGCCCATGTTCACTGAGAAGGGAAAAAGGTGAAACAGGCATGCTTATGTAATATATACCAAACTAAAGTTAAACTAGTAACTACCAGTGTTGGGACTAACGCGTTATTAAGTAACGCGTTACAGTAACTACGTTATTATTGTGGTAACGAGCACGGTAACTAGTTATTATGCCAAAATCAGGAACGCGTTACTCGTTACTGGGATTTAGATAGGCTCGTTACTCGTTACTTCGTGTGGTGGCTATCGCGGAGCTTCCACAGATTCAGTAACATTAGCAAGTGGTGGAGGCCAGCAGGTGGATGAAGGAAAGGGACGCAGAAGGAAAAGAGACCCGAGGCGGCCGCCGGTCCAAGTGTGAACTGAACTTCAGGTAAGAAGTTATGACCTGCAGTCTCTCTGGGTCAGATATGAACCAAGTTTAGGTGGAGTTTATTTTCGTTATTCTGACTTTTTCCGTACTGCGTGCTAGCTAGCATGACGGAGTTTCTATACAGCTGGGTGGTGCTATGAAGTTAATGATGTTGAACTTTATTTTGTTCATAAGTTATTAGAGTTGCCAACCGTCCCGTCTGGTATTCAGAGAAAATATTACGCGTTTCTTATTGAGGTGAAAAGGAACAGTTTGTCCCGTAATTCAGCTACAATGAAAAAGGCACAAAGCTGGAGTTATTCTGTGTCTTTGCTGCACAGCTGCCTCTTCTTCTCTCATTCTCCCCCCTCCCTCTCCCGTTTCTACTTCAATCATGAAACTGATCAATGATCAGCTGATCGGCTCTCTTGTTTGTTTATCGCTCACTTTGCGCCGAAAGAGGAAACCAGCGGATGTCGCGCTAAACAACAGCAGCACGTTTAAGCTTGATCAGCTGTTGTTAGAATTTATTTAATATTAATTTCTAGTATCAGCTGATGTTTGCTGGAGCCACAGCTGTAAAGCTGCTGGTCATGATATGGTTTGGTTATCTGGTGAGAGGGAAACATGAAGATGAAACCAGGAGATGTCCTTACTGGATCATCAGAGCTGAACAGGTGATGGAGAAACAGGTTTACCTTTTAGGTGACATGAATGAGTTGAAGTTATGAACTGTTTCTGAGAGACAAATAACACCAGGATCCTTTTTTAGGTAGCTGACAGCTGGTAACTGTGCAGGGGCGGGTCTAGCAAAGTGTTGCCAGGGGGGCATGTAGGGCATTAACAGGGAGGGGGGCACAAAGAAATACTTTTCTTTCTTATTCTCATTTAAAATGTCTCGCTTTTAAAAAATAATTATCTGAATCTTACAACAAACGATTGATAGATTGATGCATATATACCATCAGAACAGTGAACATCACTGTCACAACAGTGTTTGTTTTCATTCAAAGGCTTTATGATTTTTCCTATAATGGTGGGCCGGTCTCTAGTCAAAATGCCCGGGCCAATTTTCTGTCCCAGTCCAGCCCTGTATGCAGCTCATCTGCAGTCTGGTGTTACCTACATCTTCCTATTCAGAAGGCAGAATTTCCGAGTTCTGAGTACAATCAAAGCACCACGACTGCAGTTTTTGTGTTGGATGTAAAAGGCGCACATGACGCTGTGACGTAGGCTAGAATCATGGCAGCAGTCAATGACGGTCCAGGCGTGGGATTTCTCTCGTGGAAATATGCACATTATCTTTTCCTTTCTATTGGTAGGTGGCACAGTGCACTGTGGCAAGTAAGCAAGCTAGAAGACTGGCAAAGTTATGGAAGCAACACATTAACAAGAGAATTCTGAGTAAAACCAAAGTTACTTTCCCTAGTAACTAGTTACTTTGAAAGTAACGAGTAACTTGAAGTAACTGAGTTACTTTTGAGAGAAGTAACTAGTAATGTAACTAAGTTACTATTTTAAAGTAACTTACCCAACACTGGTAACTACAGACAATATGTCTAAAAGAAAGGAAGAAAGATTGGAGAAGAATTTCAGAAAGCAACAAGGAGCTAGAAAGGGTGTCAGCAAAAGAAGGGACAAATCTACAGTTAGTTAGAAAAGAAGATAAGAGCTCTTTACAGAGAGACTGTCAAGAGAGACCAAAAAAGAAGACAAAAAAGAGAAAATATAGACATTTTTTAAATGGCCTGAAATATCCCATGTTTTTTAAAATGTGTTATTTATTTAAATCTTTAATGCATTTTAAATGCAATGCTGCAGAATTATTAAATCAAGAGCATTTAGACATTCAATTCATTTGAATCACATTGCAGTCTGACTATCCATTTTTACTGATTAGCTGGCCTATTTCACCTGAACAATGTCCATCTAAAAAAAGAAATAAAAAGTGAAACAGTAATGTCAGTACAAACTGTAGTGACTGAGGAGTAATATTTTGATAAAATAGCTTTAACAGAAAACATGTATAAAATGGCTAAATGTTATATGCAATGCACTATTCTGTTCATTGAACACATAACTTTAAATGTCATGAGTAATAGTTCAGAGAATTTGGTTTCAGGATATACAGAAAGTTCTAGCTTGTGCAGTCCTTTATTTATCAAAGCAAGTCTAATAGTACCATAACACAGGAGTTTCCAAATGATTGACACAGAGACCAGAATGCATGCCAAGCCAAGCTTTAATCAGGAAGAGCAGAACATTAAAGTTTCGATAATGTTTAATCTTTGACTAAATGAAATAGTAGTCAAATCTCTTTAAAGTCCCTGTTTTGTGACTCCAATTCATGATTCAAGCAAAAGTTTCAAGTTGATTGCTCCTACCACAGATCTGTAAGAATGTTTCACAAAAGCTCATTAAATCAGTAAAAGGTTGTAAAATTCTTAAAGTGGACATATTCTTTAAATTTCTAGTGTCATGTTTCTTTTTATTATTTTCAAATGTATTTTATATAATGTATTTTTTTTTAAACCAACATTTTCTGGCAGCTCCTTGAAGGTTTAAACAGCAGGTCACATGGGACATGATCATATTAACTCACTGACAAGTTCGAAAGCAAGTTATTTTGTTTATAAAGGCCAAAAAATGAGAGTTATGCTAGCATAAAAAACAACAACTAAATCTATGAAAAGGAAAAATAATGCAGTTTCTCAGAGGATCTTCCTAGCTTCACTGGGTTACTTGTCAGAGTTTAAGGCTATGACAGACCTGTTTTACCTTAACCATGCCATCCCCCATTTCCCTCTACGTTTACCACCTCTTCTACTCTTGTTGCGTCCTTTGCGTTTGCTTCCTCTTCTGCCTTTGCCCTGTTTTCTGCCTTGCTTGCTTCCATTTCTACGTCTACCTCTTCGTCTAAGCTTGCTTCCATTTCTACGTCTACCTCTTCGTCTAAGCTTGCTTCCATTTCTACGTGGGCCTCCTCGTCTAAGCTTGCTTCCTTTTCTACGTGGGCCTCCTCGTCTAAGCTTG